GTGTCTGTAGATATTTCCTTTCACTCATCTCTTAGGCAATAATCCCCCCCCCCTACACAAGACATAATCTTGTTACCAATACATTGATTTGGATTTATTTCGATTTTCTTCATAATTCCCTTTGGAGTGAAGTCTTTAAACTTTCCAGTGAAAAATGGTTCACTAAGTTTTCTTTTGGGATGAAAACCAGCATTATTGCTTTTGTGCCATCTCAGAAATATCAATTAAAACTACAATCATCTTCTTGGTTCTCCTGCTTGTTCAGCTGCTATAGCCCACAGGATTCACTTACTCTAGCTATATCACTGATAGCTTGAATTATAATAGATACCTCTGTGTCTGCTCGTAATAATTGTAAATGTGTCCTGAATGAGACTTATTTACTATTTGATGATAGGGTCAGATATTAACAGGTTTAGTTTTTATGATGGCTGGCGGTTCTGTGACAGTGTTAAACAAAGATAAATCCTTAATCCCTTCTCTGTTCAATCAGTTTGAAGTATTGTCATCTACTGCTGATGAAGCATAATGCTTTGTTCATAAATTCTATTTCAATTCCACTTTCAATTCATCAGGAGTATCTTTGGCCGGTTTTCCACTGAGAACCAAGTCTCTTCTGTGTGATATGTGTATAACAGATGTGATGGTAATTCTGCAATGGTCCTAAAGAAATGTGCTCCTGAACTGGCTCTTGTTCTCTCTAAACTCTGCAAGAAATAGTTTGCAGCTTTTTGCCTTGCTTGTTAGAAATACTTTTGTGGAGTTCCTATTTTTAAATACTATCAATTGTCTTTGAATTACCAACCCATTCGTCTTCCACATCTTTTTGAGGAAATACTAGTGGCACTAATCAACTCCAAATTGGTTAAGTATCTCACTTCACAGGTTCTTCATTTAGACAAGCAATATCACTTTTCACTTTTCTGGGTCAACTGTGTATGTGTTAAGGGTCTATGAAGCTTTAGATGAGAATGGTTTGTTTGTTTAATGTCATATCAATTCCTTATGGGTCATTTAATGCTGAAACAATTTTCCTAAGAGTTTTGAAGAAATAAAAATGTCATTCTGCTTTCACAATTGAATACATGGTAGATGACACCCAGCTTTTGTACATAATTACTAGAGGTATTGATGTGTGTTTTATCTTGTAGTTGAAGTTATATTTTGAAATACAGATCAATTTAAGAAATTGTAGGATGTTATATGGCTTAATGTCAGGAGTTCTTTTATGTTGGTTACTTGATTTTGTTTAGTGGCATATCAACCTCTAGAGGTTATTTAATGTGAAAATCTAAATATGAATTCAATTGTATGCTTTCAACTACAGATAAAATGTATTGATGATAATTTTACTATAAATAGGTATTGGTAATTTTTTTTTTTTTTTTAATAGAAAAATGTATTGTTGGTATCTTTACTATTAAATGTATTTTTATACTTTCATGGTTTGTTTTTTGGGTGTGGGTTAACTGTTTGCTCATAGATGGGACCCTAACAGGTGCTACCACTCTGGGTTAGGGTGAACCTGGGAACAATAGCAATTAAGTGGTACCATGCTCCTCAAAACCTCCAATCTCTGACCAGAGGCCTTGCTGCCAGAGATAAGAATGTTGAAACTTGAACTGTTGGTTTGGATATCTCAAAGGCATTTGATGGTGTTTGGTATTTCAATCTTATGGTGTCTCTGGCTGAATTTCTGATTTGATTCAATCTCTCTTAACAAAATGTGTAATGTTAGTTGTGTTGAATGGCCACTCCTCTAGATCCTTTCCCATTAATGTGAGCTCCTCCAGATCTCTATCTACGTTGTTTCTTACTTTTATCAATAACATTACTGCAGTTTCCTTTTTGTGTCTGTAGCAGACATCAAGAGGAAATTACAGCCAACTCTGTGACATTTGAATATCTTATGTTCTTAAAATTGTGGCTGCTAATAATGAATTTTTTTTTTTTTTTTTCTTTTTTACTTCACCTGATACAAGGCCTGACAGCCACTCAAGGTAGAAGGCTACTGAGTGAGTGGTCTTAAGAGAGGGAGAAAGAGGAAGTAAGAAGTGCATATTATGAGGTGGGGGATGGGACTTTCAAACAGAATTGAGAAAGTTTGCAATAAACCAAAAAAAAAAAAAAAAGGATCAGGGCAAAAAGAATATATTGCTTATCTGAAAGCAAACCCTGTGATGTGAGCCCAGTTCAGAGTTAACTGGAGCTTCTCAACAAAAAGAGGTTGAAGACTAATACGCCAATAGTCAGAAGGTTCAGATGATTTCGCCAGAGTTCTTAAAGACTGGAACTACAGAAGAGAATTTCCAACAAGCAAGTAAGCAAAAAGCAGCAAGGCATTTATTGTAAAGTTTAGAGAGAACAGGAGACATCTCAGGAATATATATTTTAAGAACTATTTCAGGGATACCATCAAGTTCACATGCTTTGTGAGAATCCAGTATCCGGAGTTACATGTATATCACTCAATAGAGACTCAGTTCTAAGTGGAAAGTCAGGTAAAGGTACTCCAGATGTGTCTAGAATAGAATTTAAAGAGAATTTACAAGCAAAACATTCTACTTTATCAGCAGAAGATGTTAACACCTGAAATTGAGTGAAGAGAGATGAGGAATGGAGGACTTAGTCTTATTTATCATACTACTAGAGAGCCATCATTAGTCATGTGAATCAAATTAGAGGCTATAGGATGTCGCCTATCAGCAAAGACTTTAGCTTTTTGAGAACAGATTTAAAATTATTTTAATCAGACTTTTCAATGGATTTTTCCAATCTTTAATATAACACTGTAGAGTGAATGGCCATTGTTAAATGTAAAATAAATGACAGAACTGTTCAACAAACAGAATTGACAAAGTTTGCAATAAGCAACAATGAAAAGAGAAAAAGAACAGGGCTAATAAAGCATGCCAAAAATATATGCAAGGCAAATTAACAGTAATAAGGCAAAAAGTATTATATATGCAAGGCAAATTAACAGTAATAAGGCAAAAAGTATTATATATGCAAGGCAAATTAACAGTAATAAGGCAAAAAGTATTATATATGCAAGGCAAATTAACAGTAATAAGGCAAAAAGTATTATATATGCAAGGCAAATTAACAGTAATAAGGCAAAAAGTTCACAAACTAAGAATTGGGTTTGACACCCGAGGAAATTTGGGTGAACGAACACAGTGTTCTGACTTCAAGACAGACTGGGACTGAGTCAGATGGAACCAAGAAATGATCTGTTTTACTGGCAAGGAAGAAATCCCAGCTTGCATTTATGTGCTCCTGACTATAAATTGGAGAGGGGAAAGTGTTTTGCAGTCATTCCGAGCCGAGATTGAACCAGCATCTTCATATTGGTGGTTATATTCCCAACATTTGGTTCCTCTGGCTCCTTTTCTTATTGGAATTTTTGAGATGAGAAATGTTGTGATGATAACAATGAAGATAGTGATGATGGTTTGAATAGCAAAGCTCATAATAATAAATTCCTCATCTCAAATACTTCAACAAAAATGACTGCATATGAAGTTGTTTATATGAAAAATCATGCCCGTCCTTCTCACTGATCTGTTGAGATTCTGTATTTTTATAACTGAAGAGCAATGGACATTACTGATTATTATGACATGAAAAACTTTGAATACTTTTAGTGTTCATTGATTCTTGCTATTATTATTTTTTCTCTTTTCTTCAGCAAAAAGGATTTCCCAGTAGAGTTGAAATTCTAGGTTCCTTTGACAAATTTCTGATACAGACTGAATTGTTATGAAATGAAAAGTTTCAACAATTTCCCATAACTATTTTTGTTTTATTTTGTTTTTTTGCTCTTTTACATATTCTTAAAAAAAAAAGTCAACAATTTATTTCTTTTGTTACTTTTCATCCTGTGAACCTCTTTTTTTCCAATCTGAACAAACAACAAAATTTTTTTTTTTTTTTTTTATTATATAAGAGGAATTTAAGCTGTTAGTGTAAAGTTTTATAATAAAGAGAACATATAGACAAAAAATATTGTATTTATTTATTTATTTTTTTTTTTTACTCCAAGCAGGACAATAAAGCCCCTAAGACACAAGAGGTTATTGGACATGAAAGAATTAGAAAATGGAATCATTATTAAGGCACAATAGAAATAAGAGTAATCAGGAAGACAGTAGCTAACACCTGACATTGCATTTAAATTTTTAAAGATCAAAGTTGGTTGGAAAGCATGGAGATAGAACAGTTCCACAAGCAAGAAGTGCAACTGCTAGTATCAAACTTACGGTTACATCTAGCCAACTTGGCTGTATATTGGTGAGCCCTTGTTGCCAAACTAGTACTGCGCTTAAATTCATGAACTCTACATACCATTGTGAAGAGCTCATCCGAACACTTACCATGAAAGTATTCATAGAAAAGGCAGAGGGAAGAAAATTTATGGGGGTGAAAAAAATGACTGAAGCTGAGGTACCAGCTCAGGATCAATAATATAGCTGATTCTTCTTTGCATTTTATCAAGAATCTCCAAACATATAGAAGCAGCACCAGATCTATATGTGGCAGCAATATTCTAAGGTTGGATGAATGGTAGACTTATAGATATGTAAGATAGATTCTAGAGAGAAATATTTTCTAGTACGACACAGTGAACCAACTTTCTTAGCACCTGACCTAGCTTATTAGGTTAATAAAAATGTTCCCAGTATGACATACTTTTATTCATAACTTCATAGCCTCATTATTCAGTCACCAGGGAATTTTTTTCCTGCTTTTCTAAGATCTTAAACCAATTTTCAGCTAAATTGTGCTTTCAATCATCTTAATCTGACAAAAAGTTTTTCTTGACAAAATCACGTATTAATATAAATTCATAGCATCATTATTGAGTCTTTGTGGTATTTTTCCTGCTTTTTAAACCATCTTTCAGTTAAATTGTCTAATCTATTGAAGGAAAAGAGTTGGTTTACAGTTTGACAAGCTTTCCCAACTATAAGGAAGAAGATAGATTCCTATAGTCTCCTATGATACGCTCACCTGAACCGTATGACCAACTCAAGAACAAAAGAAAAAGACCCCACACCTGCGAGATTGCTCGTTTTATATCAGTTCTAACTGACTGAAATTTGCATACGTTACATGTCCGTGACTCATAAATAACACCTTCCCCCCCCCTTCCAGGACAATCATACTTTTATTGTTAACTTCCGGCACTCTACAGGCGAAACGCGTTTGCGCTTGTTTCGGATTCTAAGGTAGGCCATTTTTTTTCTCCTTGTTCATCCAGCATTTCATTTAGCCAGGGAATGTTGCTGCATTTGCGTAAGCGTCCACTATTCTGCTTACATATCACGCATGCCACTCATTGCCTCTTAGAACGGCTAACTGTAGTCAGTTCAGCAGAACCCACAGACTGCTGCCTTTCAGTTCCGCTACACTCCCTCGTGATCTAGTGATCACATAGGTGACAGCCCGGAGAGGGTCTCTTTCGTCTAGTGCTCCTTTGCGGTAATGGTACCTCCTGTAATCCTTCTCCTTGGATGACTCGTTTGAAGAAGTATCACCTGTTGCATATGCGTTTTTTACCTCACAGGGGCTACTGTGTGATTTGTTGATTGTGATCACCCTTGCACTTTGGGTTGAGAGCTCGCTGTCACTCCCGCTCTCCGAGGTACTCAAGCCCATGATGGGACGCAAGTCCCTCACATGACGGGGCATCCTGTCTACAAGGACATTTTGTGGGCTTATCATACCTGTAACACGTCCACGTGTATAAGGGGACGTGCACCGTCCAATTGGGGTCTTCATCCAGACACAATCGCCCATGTTGTATCCACTCTGCTGCTTGGACCTATATGGCTAGGGTGCATCAATACTCTTCAGTGATAGCGATGAATCGGGTTGGCAGGGGAAGTCAGCAGTGACACATTATCCTTAGGAGTGACATTGTACCAATAGACTGCTTCCATTATGGTGCATTGTTTCCTTGTTGCAATTCGTTTAATACTTCGATGACATCGTTCCACAATGCCATTTCCAGAGGGAACATGCACACAACGAAAATGCAATTGGACTCCCCACTCACTTAGAAAGTCCTCGAAGCTCTTGCTGTGAAATGCCGTATCATTGTCAACGAGCATTTCAGCCGGTGCTCCACGCTCGCAGAACAGACCTTCCAGGTGGCTGATAATGCTTGCTGCATCCTGTCGTCTCAGACGCCGCCAAATTGAAAACCGCGTGGGCCCGCAGTCAATGATAGTGTCAGCCTTGGTAGTGGGTTACATCCATTCCTACTCAAAACCAAGTGTCACTCGCGTTCCAATCTCCCCCTCAGCCAATGCGTGGGTGGAGGGTCAATTGACTGGCACTTGTCGCAATTTCTCACCACAGCCCTAACCGACGCTTTACAAACTGTGGAGTCGACCTGTCTGACGAAGTACAACGTTTGCCTTATTCAGGGGTGGCCACTTCGGTGATGGATGAACCATATCCAGTCAGTCGTGTTTGTCTGGCAACATGGTGCTTACACAGCATGAAAGTTCAACCGTCTTGACAAGGTCAAGCCATCGCTGTGGTACTCTCATTAGGCTATCTGCTCGATTATATTCCAACTTCACCAGGACTACATCCACAGACAGTTCATATTCTTGGGCCAAGCTTGCAAGTGTATCAAGCTGCCGTCTGATTAGCATCTCACTTGCCGCTTTGGTGCGCACCCTAGCCTTCCCTGTGAGGGTGTCCGTGACCCATCTGTGTACACAGGCAGTCAGTGTGAAGATGCAGTATATTCGCTTTCCACATTAATGCCATGTTTACACCTTTTAGCATCGCATCAAGCTCCGCCATGTGCTGCATATCCCTTTCCTTTCATAATCAGCTCGCATCCTCCACAGCGTCTCCATCATGCTCCAATGATACTCCGGTGGCCAAAGAGCTAACGTCAAGCTCGGGACCATTAACACACCACTTTCCTTGCATGGGGTCTTTTTGACACACTCTTGTGATGACTTCTTCTATCATTATCGTTAAAGGGACGTCGATCACCTTGTCATCCCAACCCTTTGTTATGTCTGCCGCTCTCCTCTTAATAAATGCTGCAGCCACCCTAAGCCATTTCACCCCTGGGAAGTGCCCGATCAACTTTCCACAAACACACTACGTCGGGTAAGAATACGTGGCATGCTTGGGACCTCATTCCCATATTAGAGTGTTGTCTTCTCCCTGAACTGCTAAGCCAAGCACTCTTGCACTGTTCTGCAGCCACTTCAGTTCTTTGCTTGCCAGTCCAAAGTTAGCCAAATGTTGCATCACCCTGATTGCAGAAGCTATGTCTTCATTAATAAAGACATTGTCAATGTATGCTAATGTTGCCTGCTGGATCGCGTCATCCTGCAAGAGTGTAGCCTTAACAATAGCTCGCATGATAGATGGTGCTTACATTGAGTCCAAAACCCATGCGTGATAAGCAGTACCTTTTTCCTTTGAAAATAAGTCTGGTACGGCCACAAGGATTTGTGTACATGCACTTGTAAATAGGCCCTTTGGAGATCCAGCAACGACACATTGGAGCCTTTCTTTCTCCACTCTCTCAACTTTTGTGCACAGATGTCAGCTTGTGTCGTGTAGGCGTCGACGTATCCATTCAATGCACAAAAGTCCATCACCTGGCGTACCTTAGACTTATTCTGTTGAAAAACAGCCATCAATGGAATCTGGCCTTTTGGGAGACCAAGTTCCTCCTCGGGATAGGGAAGCAGCCATCCGTGGCTTAGCCACGTTTCCAGCTCACGACGGTACTCTTGTTGAATTTGAGCGGACATGGGATACTCGGGCACCTTATTCGTAAGTCCCCCAGGTGGCTGATTGCTTGACCACTTCCATGCCACTGTCTAAACCCTGGTTTGCTCATCGAACTCAGCGCTGAAGTCTGGTTCCTCTTTTCTGATCGCGGCACAAGCACACGGCTGCATCCTTGAGAAAATAGCACCACCGAACTGGTTTATATGAACTCCATCCAGCATTTTGATTACATCCATTCCAATTAGCATGTCGAAGCCTAACAGCGGACTGTCCATGACCACATCAACTTTCACGGGGCCCACGTTATCTACCGCCAGCGTGATAGTCCCAACACCATTACTGTGGAGGGTTTCATCATTGACTGTTAGGACATCCAATGCTTGCCGACTCCAGAGGTTGCATACTGATCCAGTCATAACTGAGAACATCCAGAATCCACCAGTGCTGGGCACTTCTTGCTATTAATGACAGCTTCAATCATGGGCAACGTCTCTTTTAATTTGAATGGGGGAGAGAGTGGCGCTGACATCTCGCCCCTGTTTCCGTTTCCCGGACAGTTTTTTACTAAGTGCCCTGTTTTGTTGCAGAGATAACAGCACATGGCCGATCTTTTTCTCCAGTTTCTAGCACTGCCGCGTTGCACACAATCTCTAGCCAGATAGTTCGGGCCCCCGTACCTGAAGCAGCTGATATCACTCTGGCTAGTTTTGCGAAGGGTCGGTGCATGTTAGGCCTGCTTCTAAATGTTTGTCTCTGGTATCCACCAATATGACGCGAGCTCTTTCAAGTAGCTCTCCCAAATTTAGGGTTTCCATCCTGGTAGACAAATGAAGGAGCCCCTTGAGATGACTTGGTAACCCATTAATGAAGGCGGTCTTCCGGCAGCATTTCGCCTACCAGCCGTGCCAGCCATTGCAAATCTGTTAGAAACTCATCCACAGTCTCTTCTGGATGGAGGCAGCGCATGGTAAATCATTCATAAATGTACGACTGAGTCCATTCCGTAGGCTTTCACAAGTGCCCGCTTAATCTCCTCAATGTCAATGTTGTTCTTTTGATAGCTGCCAATATCTCTCCCGGGCCGCACCTTTTATCCTCATCCTTGTTGCCATAGTTCTAATACCGCCTAACTAGCTTGAAGGAAAAGAGTTGGTTTTAAATTTGACACTGCCATCCCAAGTATAAGGAGGAAGATAGATTCCTATAGTCTTTCTTAGTCTCTGATGATATGCACACCCGAACCGTACGACCAACTCCTCAAGTACAAAAGAAAAAGAAAAGACCCCCCCCACCTGCGAGACTGCTCAATTTATATCAGTTCTAACTGGCTGAAATTTGCATACATTACATGTCTGTGACTCATAAATACCCCCCCTCCCCAAGGACGCTCATACTTTTATTGTTAACTTCAGCACTCTGCAGGCGAAATGCATTCGTGCTCGTTTCGGATTCTAAGGTAGGCCATTTTTTTTTTCCTCCTTTTTCGTCCAGCATTTCATTTAGCCAGGGAATGTTGCTATATTTGCGTAAGCGTCCACTATTCTGCTTACATATCACGCATGCCACTCATTGCCTCTTAGAACGGCAAACTGTAGTCAGTTCAGCAGAACCCACAGACTGCTGCCTTACAGTTTCGCTACATCTGTATTAGGGTTAATGTAAATCTTTTATTCAGATAAATTCATAGCATCATTATTCAGTCTTTGTGGTATTTTTCTTGAGTTTCTATGACCTTTGACCCCTTGCAGCTAAACTTTCTATTCCATCAAAACAAAAAAAACAATGATTCTGCTATTGATTTGATGAATTAAAGGACATTTTTAGTGTCAACTTCTTAAAACCATTGGCCAGACAAGGATTTTATTACATGGAATAAAATAAGTGATGGTCTGAAGGTGTCCGGTCTGGAGAGTCTATTACATGCAGAATAACTTCCCATCCTAACTTTATAATCATTTGCTGTATTCATATTTGTAACTTGAAGTGTTTTCATGTCTTGAAATCACGTCTGTCCGTTGTGGTTTTATTTTTTATTTGTTTTGTGTCACATCCCTTCAGGACATGAGTAATCATGGTTCTCCACAGCTTTCTATCTTTTGCAGCTCTTAGCAATATTTTTTTATCATCCCTCCCATTCTCTGTTTTGCCATTTATTTTTTTTTTTTTTTTTTTTTACTTTGCTTTCTCACTGATTCCCTTTCTCTTGCCTTCAATGCTTACAGCCACATCATATTGAAAGAGGAGTTTCCTTATGATCTCTGAAGTTAAGCATCATTGATTTTGTTCAGTACCTAGATGGGTGACCGCACAGGAATACCATGTGCTATAAGTTTGGATGTGCAGGTAGTGTAATTGATAATGACTCGGAATTGTTAAATGAAGTACCAAGTTTCAATTTCAGTTGGGTTCATTATATTCACTTACATGTAGATGCCCTTGGGTAAGGTCTGAATCTACCTCTGCCCTTCCAAGCTATGGGTTAATTAGTAAAACTTGTAATGCAAAACCATTATCTCTCCACTCCCTCACCAAAAAAAAAAAAATAAATAAATCTTACAATCTAAGAATATTTTCTGGCTTTAAATAACCTGCAAGGAGTTGATAACCCATAAAAAAATGAATTGATAAATTTTACATTCAATATGGGAACATCAAATTCTCTAAGCCCTCTTTTCTCATTAAACATCTCAGAAATTTAAACTTTCTTTCTAATTCTAAGTTTACTTTTTGTTCCATTTTCCTTAAAAACAAAAACCTCCTAGTTGATCACATGCTTTATCCATGGTATTCTCAGCATCCTTGTTGCAAATCTTCTCTTGATCTTGAAATCGTTCAACATTTACTGCCATATAGGAGGATTGATATTGCATATCTGATCAGCACACTATTTTTTAAATTCTTATCTGTACAAATGAGCCATTCAAACAAGCCAATTACTCACTGTAACCTCATAAGATTGTCTGTCTCCAGACATTTGTAATAGAAAGTTCCCTTTGGATATAACAAAATGGATTTTTTTCCATAGTAATTTCTATTTAAATTGAAATGTTAAAATTGTCTTTGATTTTCGTCCAATTTTATTTTGATTCTCATAATAAATTTTCATATATATATTGTGTCGTGCAAAAAAAAAAAAATTCTGATCAATGTTTATTTTTGTAAATTCATGGATAACCTGTTTTTCTAATTTTGGGATTTTTCCTAAACCTAAAACATTTAAATTTTGTTAGAATTGCTTTGCACATTTGCTGGAATTAAAGCCCCCCCCCTCATACACACACATTTAAAATAAAAAAAAATTTAAAAATTTACCCAACATTTGTTTGACAGGCTGAATGTTACATTTTTCTAGGACTTAATTTTATGTCTATTCTATTTAAAATCAGTCAAATGGTGAACTCTGCATCTTATCAACTATACTCTCTTTCTCTCTTTTTTACTCTATTAAAAAAACAGACCAAAGTAATTTTAGATAAAACTAGATGACCTTGTTATTAAAAAAAAATGTTATTTGCAGATTGACATTTTTTAGTTTGTTTTTATTTACTTTTTTTTTTCCTTTCTTAAATAAAAATAGGTGTGGTTATTGTACGTTGGGGATAAGACTAGACATGTCTTCACGTATGTATATATTTGTGTGGGGGTGTAGAACAGCATTTTGATACCTTTTGTTTGCAGATGCACATTTAGCAAACATGTCTAGTTATTTTGGTGGTGGTTGTGTGGGTGAGATGAGCGTGTTAGATGTGTGCGTTGAACTGGGGTAACTGTTTCTGGAGAATGTTGTTTTGGGAACACTGCAACAATTTTAATCAGAAGAGAATTGATCATTCCAACAAAGTGTGTCCTTATGAAGGAAGAAATAGAATCTGTCTCAGAGCTATTAGGAGACTAACACACTTGCAGTATTTATAGAAAAGTCACCTGGTTTAGCCAGTCACATGAGATCACACCAGAGAGGTCAGGTGCAAACTCATGTGAATGCAGCTTTACCAGAAAGACCTGCAAGTTACTTGTATGAGATTTGTGATGAGGATTTTAATTCTGTTGTGGGACTCAAAAATTAGATCATTGTATACAAAGAAGCAAAGTTTCCAATATAGGGAATGCAGACAAACTTTGTTTGCTATGTGTGTAAGAGAGGTTGCAAAAGTGAAGCTGACCTTAAGAATCACTTCTAGGCTCATAGCAGAGTGCTAGCTCTGGTAAAAATGATGAAAATAATAAAATTCTGAATTAAAACACACACAAAATTACCAAGTGAAAAGATGGTCTTCTTCTATAAAGAAGTTAGACTCATCATCCACTTATATATATATATATATATATATATATATATATATATATATATATGAGAAAGAGGTGTGATAATTTAATTCCTGGAATGACTGCAGCATGTTGTTAGGTTAATGACTTGGGCAAATATTTCTGCTTGAGCACATCTTTGACTTTCTTGTGTAACAGAGACAGGTAGACACATGCAAATATAACTTTTATTGACTGGAAATGGAAACAGTGTTTATGTATCAAAGTACAATTTGGGTTAAGATGTGTGTTTACCGATGAGAAACATGATCTCAGGGCAGGAGGCGATGTTTTAAACCTGGGTCACTAGTAAACAATGGGGATGGGCGAGATACTTGGTTTTGTTTAACAGTATTTGTTTTGATTAAAAGGTTGAATCAATGTTTAGATATCCCAAAGTATAATTTTGGTGAAGCGAGAAGAACTCGTGATTGAGATAAGGTAAATAATTGGAGAATCGGTTTACATGTCAAGGGATAATTTTTGGCACTTGTGGTAACTGCATGCCAGGCCGAGGGTCAATTGTGATCAGCTGATCCTTTTTCTATATTAACTCGAGATTTTGCTAATAAAGCAGTCGGGGAAAGACACTGTAGTCGAGAGTCATGAGACTATCGTCGAAGTTCCAAGAATATTTCCAGCAATGGCACAATCACTTCATAAAGTGAAGAGCTTGACAAGACTATGACTGTGTAAATGCTGCTTTCTTTAATTGTTGGGGTTACCAATGTAAATGGTGTCTTGTTGAAAAGAATAATGTGGCTGCATGTTGAAGAGCATTTAACATATATACATTTTTTTAAATCAAGGAAAAACAATGGAAAACTGATTTGTGTTTCAACAATACAATATATCTTAAAATCAACAACAAATACAAGGTAATTTTTGTAATGTGTGAATATGGAGAAAAAAGTAGTTTCCTTTTATCTGTTAGTTGAATATGGTGATATTTAAATAAGCAAGTTTTCTGAATATAATGTTCAGAGTTCTGTGTTAAAATAGAATGTGCATTCAGAAGAACATACAGTTGTGTTTTGTAACTAACAGAGTTGTTGCAACTTGGCTTGTTCACAAAGAACTGATGGTGAATGATATTCAAGTTCTGTGTGCGTGTGGAGTGAGTAGAATGAATAATCTGTGTAGATGCGTGTGAGTAGTTGAGTTCTACTGTCTTCAACTCTACTGTTTAATTTGGGAATGAATCCAAACTTATATTACTATTGGTAGGCTCCCAGCACGAACGTGGGATAAATTTTGAAAGAACACGAAAAATATCTGATTGGATGAAAAATTAACCAATTGGTGATTTTATAACAAAAGCATGTTTGTGAGTTAACGGTAGGAAAAATTCAGTGGTGAATGCGATCAGTAAATTGTCCTGTGATATTATTTGACCAATCACAGTTGAGAAAAATGTAGGCGTGACAAACATAGTAGTAATCATTACAACTGTAAGAGGGACAGTAGTTAATATTGATCAACCATCTCCATCACTACCAGCTGACTAGGTAAGCAAACTTTGCTTTCATGAGGCCATTGTCATACACATATATACATATATATATATATGATAGACTCTCCCATCGAGTTCGATATATGAGATTCCGACAACCACAAACTAGTTATCTGCAAGCCTATGGCGGGCATGAGACCAGCTCGAGAATTGCACAAAAGACCACAAACAGGACAGGAGAATGTATTGTATCCAAGTGCAGCAGAAACACTGTTAGCTGTCTTATTTTGCTTTCATGTTTCACGTAGTCGACTGATGCTTACTTCTTGATGGTGCATTATTCCTGCATGGCAGCTAGAATGATACTCTGATCTCTTCATAGCTACCTCTTCAAAGTTCTTGAATGTCGACGCAAGAAAGGTTGCTTTTCAGTTTATCTTTATACCTGAGCCAAGGTTTACCAGCATTTCTATGACCACTATGGAGTTCATTGTAGAAAAGAACTTTTGGTATGCGATCATCACTAATCCTTGCCCCATGTCCAGCCCAACGTAGTTGTGATTGCATTATGAAGGTTTTGATGGTACCAATCTTGCATTTCTTGAAAAGGTTGGCATTTGACACTTGATCATCAAATGTTAGGCCATAGATTGTACAGAGACAACCTTAATAGAAGACATCTAATCGTTTAATGTGCCATGTATAAGGTGTCCAAGTTTCAGAGCCATACAAAAGGGTTGACAAAACGACAGCTTTATACACTTAGATTTTAGTGCAAAGCTTTATACTCCTTTCATCCCACAGCCTATGACACGGTGAACCAAAGCATTCACCATGTTGTCAGGAATACCAAGTTTCTTCAGAACATTCCAGAGTACTTCTCGGTTTACAGAATCAAAGGCCACAAATACCAAAAATAGCTCGTTGTTTTGCCCACGAACCTTCTCTGCAACCTGATGTAGGGCAAAAATCCTGTCAATAGTGCCATGACCAGAGTGAAATCCACACTGAGATTCAGAGTAGTTGACGTTGACAGTGTTTTATAATTCTGTTGAGGATGAGCCTTGCCAAAATTTTCCCGCTTGCAGGATTTGAATCTAATTACAGTTTCCCCTAAAAATCTCTAATTGTAAAAAATGTTTAAAGATAATGGAAGCAATTCTTATAAATCAGCTGAAGACTCCACTCAACATAATTTTCTTTGAAATGAGTAAAAATGTGAAGGCACCCCAAAATGGAATTACTATTTATTTATTTTTATACATGACTCTTTTTTTTTTTTTTCCCTCATAGGGTACAATTTTTACATTTAGATTCCCCCCCCCCTCATAGGGTACAATTTTTTTTTTTTTTTTTGCCTATCAACTTTGAGTGATTTTGTTATAGATAGTGAATAAACTTAATCATCCCCGTTTATTTATACACACAGTGTGGACATAGGAATCAACTCTGTATGGGGACTAACAGTTTCATGTCATTATGGCATTGAGATGTGAAAGTGACAATAAAATAAGACAATAAAGAAAAAAAAAAGAAAGTGAGCGAATCATTTTATTTATCAAGATAAAAGAATAAAAAAGCATTAATTGAACAATGTGGAATTAAATACTTTTCTACTGATGAAAGGAGGAATTGTGATTTGTGGGTACAGCATAGAGGAATCCACCTTTTTTTTTTTTTTTTTTTTTTTTTTTTTATTTTCTGTTGATGTGTTGGTACTTTTTGGACAGTTTATGAAGTAGAGGCAAGTGGGGGGGGGAGGAGAAAGTCACGATAAGTAGTCGTACTATTTGATTTAGCTGGTTGAAGGTATGTTACTTTCCTGTTCACAGTTAGGGCTAAGTTACTTAGAGTAAGTTCGCGCTCCAGAATGAAAGAATCAAACTACATCTATAAAGGTTTGTGTTGCCTGTCATGCCATTAAGTCTGTTAGCTTTTTATGAGCCAGTAGGAAAAATGGATCCTTACTCTGCCAAAGCTATTCTCTTTAAACCAAGCATTAAAATCTTTTATAAAGGAGTAGAAAAAAAAATTAATAAACAGTTTATGGGGAGTACAAAACTTTATTAATGCTATAAAACAGGCATATGAAAAATTGTATATATAATAATAAAAAACACACGCACACACAAAAAACAAAACAAACAGTTGAGGGGGCGGCGAAGAATGAGGTAATAAAATAATTCACCGTAAAGATGTGACTCGAAACAATGACAACAATAAAGAAGAAAATAAAAATATTAATAGGTTTCTGATTCTTGTTCCTTGTGATCAATCGAGGACAAACATGTAAATTGTGTGCACAATGTTTAAAAAAAAAAAAAAAAGAAAAAAAAAAAAAAAAAATTAAGAACAGCCAGATGAGAGATATATATATATATATATATATATATATATAGTTTATGGAAAACGAGGTAATCCATATGGGTAGACCCAAGGAGGATAAAATCCAGGGAGCTCCATGTAAATCCAGAGCAAATAATTTGGAAGTAAAGTCTGATCTGCAGTCCTTTAAAAGGGCCGTGGTAAAATAATTTATTTCATGGAACCTTAAAGTGGTCTGTTTTTATTTAATATATATATATATATATGGGAGAGGTGTCGCAGCGAAAGCGGTTCTGGCGGGGAGTTTCTCGCTTCCTTCTGCCTGCCTGGCCGTGCCCAATTCCGCCGGCGCTTGCCGTCTTCGTCCCGTCGTCCGTTTCTCCCCTTTTCCTCCGTCCGTCTCGTATCGGTTCCTCCACGATTTTCCCGTTGCCGGGAGATGTCGCAGGGGGCTTGGGCGCTTGTGGCGGGGGGAGAACTCACGGGGGGTTGTTCGCGGGGTGCAGCCTCAAACTTTCTTTCCATCGCCCACCGGTGAGATCCCGCGGCTTGAACTAGTCACGATTTAGGTCGCCGAGTTTAGGCACTGCATGCGGGCGCATCACCCCCTGGTTGGTAATTTTCTCTCTGAGTACGACTCGGCCGACTCTGGCGTAGCGAGCGACCAGGGACCCGAAAGATGGCGATCCACGCCCGGTCAGGATGAAGCCAGAGGAAACCTACTCTCGAACTTGGAACGGGTCGACTCTCCTGAATACGGCGGCAGAAACGAATGCGAGTGCCAAGTGGGCCACTTTTGGTAAGCAGAAATGGCGCTGTGGGATGAACCAAACGTCTGGCTAAGGTGCCTAACGCGACGCCCATGAGATCCCTGAAAGGGTGTCGGTCAATATAGACAGCAGGACGGTGGCCATGGAAGTCGGAATCTGCTAGGGAGTGTGTAACAACTCACCTGCTGAATTGACCGGCCCCGAAAATGGATGGCGCTGGAGTGACGGACCGATGCCGGACCGTCGTGGCGAGGAGTGCTTGTGCTGGAAAAATGAAAATGATGCGCGCGCCTGACCGATGCCGCGACGAGTAGGAGGGTGCCACAGTGAGCACGGAGGCTAGGGCGCGAGCCCGGGTGGAGCCGACCGCGGGTGCAGATCTCAGTGGTAGTAGCGTCGAGCACGGGTCAGTCGGTCCTAAGACGCAGGCGAAAGCCTTCCCGAAAGGCACCGGATCCGTAAATCTCTTTGTCGTCTCTCGCGAACTCGCGTGTGAGAAAGAACAAACAAAAAAGCGAATGACGAGCGGCCGGTCTTCCGTCGAAAGGGAATCAGGTTAATATTCCCGAACCCGGACTCGGAGAGTGCCTGGGGGTGGCGGTTCTGCTGGCAGCGATGTCGGTGGCGTCTCGTCGCTTCTCGGGCGAAACCGCGGTGACGCAAGCGAGCCCGGAGACGTCGCCGAGAGCCCCCGGGAAGAGTTCTCTCTTCTTCGTAAAGGACCATGTCGTGCAATCGGCTCGTCCGGAGATACGGAAAAGGTACTTGTAGAGGGCCGTGACGTCCGGTGTGCTTTCAGCGGCCCTGGAAAATCCGGGTCCGGTTTTCGCAGCTCTCGAGTCGGTCCGTACCCACCATCCGCAGCAGGTCTCCAAGGTGTACAGCCTCTCGTCGATGGCATCAATGTAGGTAAGGGAAGTCGGCAAAATGGATCCGTACCTTCGGAAGAAAGATTGGCTCCGAGGACCGGGTCGGTTGGGCCGTGCCCACGCGAAGCGAGGAACCAGTACGGGGCTGTAGCGTTTGCTCCGTTCGCGCTTTGCGGCGTGGGTTCAATGTGTCGTCGCAATCGCTGTCGAGCTCGGGTCGGGGGCTGCAGGGTCGGGCTAGGCGGCGGGCGGCGGTTTTCGGGTTGGGGCGACGGGCACGCGCGTTCGTGCATCTGGGGCGGCGGCTCATATCAAGTCGTCGTCTGTGCGCGATGCGTCGTTCACGAACCCCGAGTCAACCCGTTCTTCGTCGCCTACGCTCGTCGTTTTCCCTCCATTCTCTGTCCCGTTTTGCGCATCGCATGCGCTACGGGTCTCCACTCACAGCGCCACCCCCGTCGCTACCGGTGCGTCGGTCGGCGAGCAAAAACGCCTCCTTACCCAGGTCTCCGTGGAGTGCCAGGACTTCCAGCCCCTCTTCAGGTAAGCGGCGTGGTTGCTCAGCGTCTCTCTCGGCGTAGGGGCGTTCGTCCGGCAGCGAATGGTCGACTCTGAACTGGTATGGACCAGGGGAATCCGACTGTCTAATTAAAACAAAGCATCGTGTGGCCCGGTAATATTTTCCGGCCTTCACACACATACTTTGTGTTATATGAAATATCCCTACATTGATTGAACAATATGCCTATCACTTGATTTTACATTTACCTATATTTATCCATTTGTTTATTTATATATATATATATATATATATATATATATATATATATATATATATATATATATATATTTTTTTTTTTTTTTTTTTTTATTTATTGTTGATTAATTTTACTGATCAACTTTTCAAAATTATGAATCCTTCTCAGATATGGAGAAAATTTAATCAGGAATTGTCCAAAGTTCACATTGGAAGAAATATGGTCCAAGCTTTTTGTTTTCTTTTGGTAACTCGTGTAACTCTAATGTAATTCCTTGATAATCATATATTGCTTTAATAGTGGGTAATGGAACTTATACTAAGCTAAAACATCATTTTATTCTATTCTCCTATCTGACCCACAAACCTTTTACTCACAAACAAATTGGGGTGGGATTCTCTTTTTTTATATTAATATTCAGTAAGTATTCCCTAGTCAGGATATCAATGACTAAACTTACTACCCCACTTCAATTTCTTGTGAGTGAGGCGGCTTGTTAGCGAGCCGCTAGGATGAAAAATAAAACCTAACAAAGGGCGGAAGAACTCTGAGTCAATGGCCAGCTAACTAGAGGTGCTGTCTATAAACCACTGTGGAGAAGACAACGGGAAAGCACTCCACTATTAATCCCCCAAAATATAATGGCAAATAACACACATGTTATGAAATCTAATGTGAAGGGGGTTAAATCTATTATAACTAACTTACCTGGTAAGGACTGACAGGTGTGACCTGAGCGTCATTCAGTGGCTGATAGCACAAACAATGTAAAGGGGATAAAATTCCTCAGAACCTATCTCTTACCCAGAAAGGAGAAACATGCGTCACTGGACTGTTATCCAGCAATTGCTTGCATCAAATAAAAGATAACTCTCGAGAGATGGAACGTTTGGACATTGAACAACTGTGGCTAGTTAAATAATGTTAAACAGAAGATGAGTAGGCTAAAAATTAACGTCTTGGCCAAACAATGGAGAGACTGTCAGTGACAATCACAGAATTATTTATGCTGGCAGAGAGAAAAACACTAAAGGAGTAGGATTGATACTAGATCGAGAATTCAAGAAATTCATTCTACTAAGGGCAAAGATATCTGCTGATTGTTCCAAGAGAAATGATTCTATGATACTGAAGTTGCTATGGATACCGTGAATATTGGAGAAAGAAAGGTTAGAGGAGGGTTAAGTGTTGGTGTGTTTTTACTGGTTTAATCGTATTTCTTTGTTGCGATTTCCATGAAATACATTTTGAGGAGGGAGAAAAAAAGACCACCATAATTGTGGCCATCTGTCATCAATGGCAAATTCGCCCCCCCACCTGCCAGCATTTTGCTAATTCCCCCCCTCCTGCCAGCATTTTTGCTAATTCCCCCCCTCCTCCCGCCAGCATTTTGCTAATTCCCCCTCCTCCCCGCCAGCATTTTGCTAATTCCCCCTCCCTCCCGCCAGCATTTTGCTAATTCCCCCCTCCCTCCCGCCAGCATTTTGCTAATTCCCCCCCCCCCTCCCGCCAGCATTTTGCTAATTCCCCCCCTCCCCCTCCCGCCAGCATTTTGCTAATTCCCCCCCCCCCCGCCAGCATTTTTCTAATTCCCCCCCTCCCTCCCGCCAGCATCTTTCTAATTCCCCCCCTCCCTCCCGCCAGCATCTTTCTAATTCCCCCCCTCCTCCCCCCCTTAGCATTTTCTAATTCCCCCTCCTCCCCGCCAGCATTTTGCTAATTCCCCCCCTCCCTCCCGCCAGCATTTTGCTAATTCCCCCCTCCCTCCCGCCAGCATTTTGCTAATTCCCCCCCTCCCTCCCAGCATTTTGCATTTTCCCCTCCAGCATTTTTCCCCCTCCCTCCAGCATTTTTCTAATTCCCCCCCTCCCTCCTGCCAGCATCTTGCTAATCCCCCCACCTGGCCAGCGTCTTGCTAGATTTTTTTCTTGTCTTCAAATTACAATATACTTAATGATTATTATAATCATTATTATTGCCAAAGTATGTTATTTTAGTTGTAATTTTTTTAAACTTATATCTTCAGAATCAAACTAATATTGTAACAATTAGTAAGATGAGTATAAAATTAAAGTAATTCAGAAAGTAATTTCTTTATTTTACTTTAATTTTATTTTATTTTAGAATCTGTTTTTATATATTTCTAAGTCGACCATATGTCCTTGTGTTGAATATTGCTACCACATCTGGTCTGGTGCATCTGCTATATATTCTTCATGAAATGAATCTGCAACATTATTGGTCCTGACCTGGCATCTCAGCTGCAGTCACTTTCCCACTGCCATAACATAGTTTCTCTGTGCCTTGTCTATAAATATTTTCATGGTAATTGTTGTGATAAACTCTCCTCTAAGGTGCATAGACTTTCTGAATTTAAGCACAGTACTAGATTGGTCTCATCATTTACAGTTGAAATGGCTGCTAGATGTAACCATAAGTTTATTGTCTTGCACTTATTTGTCGTACTCTTTTCTAGCATCTTAGTTGCCAGTCAACTTTGATCTTCAAAAATTTAAATGCAATGTCATTTGTTATCATCTTAATTCCTGCGTTTTTTTTTGTTTTTTTTTTGTTTTTTTTGCATTCTCTAACCACTTGCATCTTTATGACTTTATTGCCTTGTTTTCAGTGAAATGAAACTTTGTACTATCCCAATCCTTAACAACTTCTAAATAGGTCCATCAACTTCATTTGCTTATCCACTGTCGTTACAGAGCTTCCCAGTGCCTTTTCTGTATATTCCCTCATGGTAATTGTTAGGATAAATTTTTTTCTTTAGTACCTAGACTTTATGAATTTAAGTACAGTACTAGATTGGTAGCTAGGTCTCATCAATTTACAGGTGAAATAACTAGATGTAACAAAGTTTTAGGCTAACAGTTTCTTCTATCGCTCTTCATGCTTGTTGAACTTCCTTTTGGCTTCTTGCTTCCCAGTCAACTTTGATCTTTAAAAATTTAAATATGTCTTCAGTATCTGAATTTCTCTTTTATTGTTCTCTCTCTTTAATATTTTTTTTCTCATATTCTTTCACTCTTAGTAACTCTTTGCATCTTAGTGGCTTTAGTGCCTTGCTTGGGGGTGAAATGATTAAAAAAAATATGAAGAAAGCCACTACTATTAATACTACTATTGCAACAGATGTGGCATAGGTATGGCACATGTAACAGTTCGTCGGGTGAGTAACAGAAAAACAAATATAACCAAAAGGACAAAAGTTCTTTTGTTTTTTTTTTTTTTATATATGCTTCTGGTATGTGAACAATAACCAAACACAAATACTTTGAATAATTTCAGTAAGGAGAGATGTGGCCTTCATTTTAACCCTTTTTGGTCTGTTCTTAGTGCAACTACTACAATCTAGATGTTCCTGTTCTCTGTAGTCATAATAGTTGTATTGGTAGTAGCAGGTGTAGTGGTACTTAGATGTTGGCAGCGGTATTTCGCTTCTTCGCCCTCAGCTTCAGCAGTATGCAGTGGATGCTTCCTTTTCAACCTCTGATGTCTCTCCACTGTTTGACTGCACTTGAAGACAAACTCAAAACTCCCTATATCTTCCTGATGACTCGCCTCTTTATTGAGAGAACTGGTGACATGTTTTTCTAGTGTGAATGTACTGACGTACTACCAAAGTACAACTTCACTCCTCCAAGATTAAACAATTTACTTTTTCATCAGTTTGTTTCCAAGGTTAACAACAAGATGCTATAGTTTATCACCTTGCTATTAATTATTCTGCCACTCTCTGTAAACTACAAAGATTCTTGTTTTTAAAAATAAATTCTAGATCAAAATATACTTAATTTTAATGTCGATTCTTATAGTGTCAAAATCCATTTCTTTGTTTAAAAGTTCTAAATCATTATTGTTCCAATAATTTTCTGTTAGCAATCTGATATCCTTTGTACACTTACAAAAAGATTGTATTTTGTGTTCTAAACTATCTGTAACATTTATATTTCAAAGCCTTTACAGCATATTAATATCTTGGTTATTCAAAAACACCTCTCATTCACTTGGCGTTTTCTGTTTTACAGCTTATCCTCCTTTATCATTATTTCAGGGTGATATTGCCCTTCCACTCTATATATATATATAT